CATAAACATAAACAAAAAACATTTCACGTTTAGACTATGTTACGTTTTCCTCTACCCTCTCCACTTCCCAGAGGGGGAAAAACCTGCACGACGAAAAAAAGATCAAGACTATAAACCTGAGTGCAAAGGAATTCGTGGTGCGCCCCCACGACTACTCCTCGCCAGCAGGCAAGGGGCAAACTCCGTTCTCATCCGACTTTTTCCCAACACAACAGCAGTAGCGAGAAGCAAAGAGGGGTCTCTCCTGAACACCCCCCCCCCCGACAGTCAGTCTACACGCCAATGTCGTTCGCGGTGTTGTTCACCACGTCGAAGGCGGCCTCAGCGGCCTTCAGGTCAGCGTCCCTCGCGCCGGTGAACTTTGCGGTGAACTTTGCCGAGGTCTGCATCGCTCATGCTCCCGCTGAACCCGATACCGCGTGTCGTACGGTGTGTTTGTTCTGCTGTATGTACCAGATGTGTTCTGTTTCTCTGCTGAAGGAGGGTCTTGCTCTGTGTGTTGTGTGGTGTTTTTTGAGGGTACGCTTCAAGTTGGACTGACGTCAGCATCCCGGGGTAATCACAAATGTGGAGGGTAGTTCCACAAATGTTTACCCGTACCGCGGGTAATTGTGCCGCCGGCATACAGAACAGGAGGGTAATCTCTGTGGGGTACGGGATGTGCTACAGAACTCACAGAAGTGTAGGGTATTGTGGCACGACCGTCACAGAACCCACAGAAGTGTTAGGGTATTGTATACAGAACAAGAGGGTAATCTCTGTGGGGTACCGTGTGTGCTACAGAACTCACAGAAGTGTAGGGTACTGTGGTGCAACCGTCACAGAACTCACAGAAGTGTAGGGTATTGTGGCGCTACGGGCACAGAACTCACAGAATTGTTCTGTAGGGTAAAACAGAGGGTAATTACCCCCGGTATAGATCTGTGGGTACCCTACAGAACCTAACCTTGAAACTGTGTTGATGACGAAACTATACACACCCCGAGACGCGCTTGCTCCGCAACCACACAACGGTGCTATAGACTAATAGAACACCCGACAAACCGAGTTCCCCTAGACTAAATCTTCCGTCTACAACTTCCCAACATAACATACAGATAGATACACNAACTGTGTTGATGACGAAACTATACACACCCCGAGACGCGCTTGCTCCGCAACCACACAACGGTGCTATAGACTAATAGAACACCCGACAAACCGAGTTCCCCTAGACTAAATCTTCCGTCTACAACTTCCCAACATAACATACAGATAGATACACAGGATGGTTACCAAACTGCCTTGTTGAGCCTGTTACCCACAGGGGAGTTATCGTTGTATGCTGTCTGGGAAACCGTGGAGATACAGGTAGCCTTTCGCTCACGCTATGGATTCATTGCTAATCTATCTTAGACTTATTTCTAAAAAGAAGTGTTTCGGCGGTCGCTGGGAGAGCGAGATCCTCGCACTTCTTCCGCAAGGATCGCTTTGGGTCACCCAATGCAACATGATGGCCGTCTTCCATCACATCACTGCTTCCTCTATTGTGCTTGATTGTGTCAGTGATGAGCACACCAGCGTGTCAGCGTTGCGCAAACACACGATTCCGCCCGCCAAACCTTGACGAGCCGTGTGGATGATGCCGGTAACGTTATAGTCTATTAATCGGGGAGTATGGTGAGGGTCAAACCCTTGACAACACTCCTGCGGTCGTTTGGGTCCCTCTCCTCGACGCCCACCAGCCCACCGGGGGGTCTACAACGTCTAATGTGAACGTAAGTCTACATTTGGCGGGCGTGGGGATACTTGGCCTCCTACGGCCGGCTCGGCATCAAAATGTGTAGGCATACGTGTGCGGGCACCAAGGTGCAGGAGAGTGGTATCCCGATTACACGGCATAATCATACAAATTGCGATCGATAATTTTTTGCAATGCCATACCCTTTCTTCGTCCGTGTCGGTCATGTCATACGACCCGAAGTGGAACTCGTCGATTGTGAAGCGTAGCATGGCGTGCGAGCCATGTTTCACGATCGACGGCTGCAGAATAATGTCGGCCGCCACCTTTTCCTCCAACGGCTTCCTCGGCGTGTCTTCCTTGAGTTTGCCGCTTGAGAGATTCACCTGTACTCATATCGATAACAATACGACGCTCTGTGTGTTAGCATTGTTGCGTGGTAGCGCGGGAGCTGCCCACCTCACTGAAAATACAATCTTGAAAATTCAAGGGCAGTCTTTTGATATATATATCGATGAAAAGTAACCGCCGGACAACGACTGTGGCAATTTCTCGGTTTACCGCTAATCACGATATCGGTGATCTATTTTGGTACCGTTCACCGCCCGCCGAAACAATAATGCCGTGTCCGTTTCCGCGGTGTAAATTTGATTCGCCTAACAAAAAAAACACAAACCCCCGCCGAGAATCAAACGTTTTTTCCGTCGACCCCTGACTATTGACCTCCAAAACAAATAATGAAGTTTTACCGCTTCAACCAGTTACCTGTTGTTCTTAACAATTATACCATGCCGCTAACAATTATCGTGATATTGGACTGCCGTCGTGTTTTGTTGCCATTTCAACAACCGTTAACCGGAAGCACTCTTGAAATTCAAATCAGCCATCAACGAGAGACGGGTTCTTCTGTCTCAACCGACACATAATTTCAGTCTGCAAAGCGCCGGAAGCGACGTGTGTACTAGGAACCACAACGGGAACTATAGTTTTTGCTCACCGGCGGTAGGTCCTTGCTTTCTCCAGTTGGTCACGGGGGATAGCGATCGGTTGGCGAAGCGTGAGAAACCACCGTCATGGAATGAATCGATTGCGAGTACCCAGCTGCTGACCCACCGGGGTGTCCTCATAGTCGTGCATGCCGTAGTCGTTAGACCATTGACCTCGCATCCCTACAAAGCCGGGACGGAGCACGCCGGGTTCTCACCGGACCAGGCTCTCACATCACCAAGCGCGAAGCGCCGTGAGATATTCGGCGAGTCGCATGAAGGGTGCGCTGCATCCTGCTAAGGGTGTTCGGCATCTTGTGCTTACTTCCTTGCGTACGGATGACAGCTGCGTATGAATTAATTTATTTTCTGGTGCTTTCACTTCCAGAGACAGTTACAAGCATTGTGGAACTGCCTCGAGGGTGCGTGACCATTTTAACACAACGTGGTGCGATCATCCCCCTTGCGCGGAGTGAGGGTTCTCGACCCCGCACAACATGATCTACTCGACCACCATTATGCTTACCGCCAAAAAAACAAACGGAGGTGAAAAAAAAATCGCCCACCGGGGGGGATCAAAACACCACGCCCTCCGAGTCAGAAGGATACGTACCGAATCCTTGGGCTTCCAGCTCTGCAATGGCCTCTCCATACTCGGACGGGACGGCAAAGAGATCATCACCCTTCTTGATGTCGTCGATTGAAAGAATCACGTCACCAGCTTCCGATTTTGACATAAAACCAGCGGATTCTGACACAGAATCAGCGACGCCAATTTTCCTCTCCTCCATGACCTGATCAATCACAAACGACGTTGGCAAGGTATCACCGTGCAAAAACAACAGGATTGGGGGAGATCTGTGTGCGCACTAGAAAGTACGGCTGATTGCTCACGTCGTCCGGGGGCTGGGCATCACGCCATGTTTTGGCACAGAGCACTGGACGCGAGAGAAAAGAGTTGCACTGACACCCACAATGCAAATCTGGACAATCCAGCTTTCGATGTTACCTGAATGTCACAGGGTTAACCACAAAGGCGTAGCGGGCCTGTCTGCTAGATGCGAAACCAAAGGGAGGTGTATCACTGACCAGGGATAATGCTACGGTCACCCTGAAGGCTACAGCGTTTGCAGGTCCTCAATGCGAGAAGCAGTTCTGTGAGTCGTTCAAAATATATGCTGGTTCCAAAATGCACGACATCCGCTCTAACGGACTCACGAGCAATCGGCGACGATGAATTCACGGCGTGAGACGCCTCGAATTCGACAACAGTTCATGCATCTTGAAACAAATTGTCCTCCCCCAACATAAAATACACCCCCTGGGGCCACCAGAGAAGAACAGAATCTAATCAAAGAAACCAAGGATAAGATGGCCTAGAAGTGTACGGAATGATGAAAGAACGGATAGGGTTCAAGGAGTACCTACATGGACCAGTGGGTACAGGGACAAAGCTTAAGGTCAAATTCAGGACCGGGGACATTGGCCCTAGAGGACGTAGACGAAGATATTGGGATAGAAGATGACAAGTTTGATTGCGGCTTCGAGTGCGGAGACCGTGTTTACGTAGTTAACAACATATTCGCCTGATTGAGAGCGAAGTATCTGATTGAGAGCGAGAGCCAAAAAAATTGAAATTTCGGGTCCAGACGCCTCTTGCCATTTCTTGGCAAGTAGGGGACGGGCTATTCCAAGAAGCGGTGCAAATTGAAGGTCTCATCAGCAGCTTCGCGAGCATATGCGTGTCATCGTCATCGGATGCTGCAGCGAGGAGCTAGACAAGTTGCTAGATTTGCCCAGATTGGCTATTTCTGCTCAAACTGTTTCAGGGCGGTATCGCGTCGGGCGGTGGGCTCTGCTGTAGCTTCTGCTCCCCGCTGTAGCTCCACAACGAGAGACTCCCACAGGATGACCAGGGTAGCGGCTTGAAGCTACGGGCTAGCCCTTCAATTCAAGCTACACAGCAAGCTCCACCTCTCAGTGGTAGTCCGGCTACAGCGTATCGCGCAATCTCGCTCTCAATCAGATGCTACGCTCTCAATCAGGCGAATATGTTGTTAGTTGCGGAATGTCAGTTGAACAAGAAGGAGTGGAAAGTGTACATGGCTGGTGAGTTGGGAAAAAAAAAGGAAAGTACAGGGAGATGTTTGAGGCATGGGATAGCCAGGAGAAGAAGGTAGCTGTACTGGGGCATAGGAAATTGGTTAAAAAGACAGGAAGTGATATCGATAGGATAAATAGGCTGGGGAGGACATTTTTGAGCCACCATTGGCGGAGTAGGAAGGAACGACTGGCCATCGGTGATCGGCCCTGTGGGAATAATGCTCCGTGCTCTCTAGGACGCGTGGTCAATGGTCCAACCGCCAAGGCATGCAAAACATACGACAAGAGTACCCCCCCCCCCCCCCCCCCCCCCCCCCCCCCCCCCCCCCCCCCCCCCCCCCCCCCCCCCCCCCCCCCCCCCCC